TGGCGGGAGGGGAATACACCTTACAGTTAGATATTCTAAAATGTTGCCACGTCCTCTAAACTCTCAGCATCCATGTCTGATTATAAACTTCACCACTCTATTATTAGGGGTTACCACTGAATCAGTGACGACTCCAAAATTTCTGCAGGAAGGGTTTTGGAGTAGGTGAACAATTCATTCCAAGAAAGTGTTGGAAACCAAGTGAACAGCCCTTTACATTAGCATGGGAAAATTTCCCCATCTCACCTTGTCTCAGCACAGCCATTAGTCTAGAAACAATTACAATGCCCCTTTTCAGAGGTCTACCCTGTGTGCACACACAGAGAAGACACCTAGGTTGTTAAAGTCAGCATGCTGGGGGGAGGTATAGCTCTGTGGTTAGTGCGTACCTAGCAAGCACAAGGTCCTGGATTCAATCCCAGTACCTCCATTAAAAATAGTGGGGAAAGGGGTGGGAAGGGATAGATTGGCATTGGAGACTTGCAGATACTAACTACTATAAGTAAAATAGATAAACAAGTTTATACTGTATACCACAGGGAACTATATTCAGTATCTTCTAGTAACTCAGTGTTAAAAAATAAGAAAACAAATCTATGTATGTTCCTATATGACTGTATATTGTGCTGTACATCAGAAATTGACACAACATTGTAACGTAACTATACTTCAATAAAAATGTATTTTTAAGAAATAGAATATATGTAAATAAATAAATAAAAATGTGGTTACCCCTCCCTCTCAAAAAACAAAGTCAGCATGTTAAATAACTTTCTTGAAATACTGCAACTAGCACCCAGTTTACTTCCTTCACAGCCCTTACAATCATCTCTCTAATTTTACTCCTTTTTAATTGTCTGGCACACCCTCTGGCCACTAAACTTCATGGAGGAGCTTCATCTTACTCCCAGCCTTAAGCACATAATGGATTTTAAATGGAATTGATTCCAAGATTGGCCAATGAGGAATGGGTCTGTTGTTATAATCAGCTTTCTGAAAATTTTAGCATCGATACTGAATCCCTTCCTCTCACTTTTCACAAGAAGCTAGACTTCTTAAAGCCCAAACATGGATATGATTGAAGTGTCCCTGGTTTAAACTTAATTTAAAGTAATTTGGTATAAATTGAATTAAAATAATTATCTTGTTTAGAAGAAACTTCAAATACTTTTTCAGAATGTAACCATTGTCTCTTTCTCTACTTTGTTCCCTTCATAACAAACTTGAAAACACTGGGGTGAGTTACATAATTAGAAATCTAGCTGCAAATTAAGTTCTCAATGACACGAAACACGTTTTTACTCCTTTAAAAAATCTTACATGCAGTACATTAATATTTTCTTTTAGAAATTACTTTGACAACTTAATCCCTAATTCAGGACATCCATATAATTAATTTATAGAAAGGTTTTTCAGTAAAATACTTCACATAAAATGTATATGAGATGCTGAGATCTGGATAACAATACACCTTATTTGAAAGGCATTCACAGTTTTCAAATGCTGCAGCACAATCCCACTTAAGGCCATAGTTACTTGGTTCCTAAATGCTTGGGATTCTGCTTGAGGGAAGTTTTAAAAGGCCCGTGTCTTCTCCTGTGTCCACAACTGTAGAAGCACACTGATGGCCCTCATTCCTGCTCTCCAAATTTCAAATAAGGGGTCAGAGCCAAGGGTAAGGATAACCAAGAAAGTCTTAAGTGGGGAGGATATAGTTCAAGTGGCAGAGAACATGCGTAGCAAGCACAAGGTCCTGGGATCTACCCCCAGCACCTCCTCTAAAAACAACTAAATAAATGAGTAAACCTAATTATCGCCCTCCTCAAAAAAAAAAAAAAAAAAAAAAAGTCTTACCTAAAACCACAACTAGCAGTTTCTGGAATGCATCTGTCATAAGACTTTTGAATGGCAAGCTTCTGGGTTATCTTCCTTTTCATAAGGAATGATAATGGCCCTAAATCCAAGAAAAACAAATGGATTTAAAATGCCTATGTGAATAACTGATTTCTGTTACACATTTAAAAAGAAAAATGCATCTGTGATTCTTAGATCATTATTGTAGCAATTAAGAGCAGGCACAACATAAGCATGTGGTTGAATGGCTCTGTTGTAGATATATCCTGGCAGGGCACATTTTTACTGCCCAGATCAATTCTGGAAGTTCCTGAAGTACAAGACAGGAGATGCAAGCCAAAAATGCGGCACAAATCTCCCATCACTCAGATTTCAAATGGATAAGCTGAAGCTACACTCCTGCTCTCCTGTGCATAAATGGCTGTAATCACACAATGAGACAGATTTGGTGATAGTGCAGATGATCTGGCCTCTCCCAGGGCATCAGCCACTCGGGTGGATGGTGGAGCCTCCCCCACTCCATTAACTAACAGACCTGCCTCTGACTTAAAACCCTAACCCCAAATACCACAGGTTCTAGGGAAAAAAACTCAGTACCAGCTGGAAAAATCTTTCTAGGGATCTACATTTGACTTTATCCACTCAAGTCCTTGTATAGGAAGCAAAGGACTGAACATTTACACAAGAATTTAAATCTTTAGATGATGATTCTGTTAGGATAGCTGAAGGCTATAAGAAATCTGTATTGAAAGGACTATTTTAGCACAAGACAAATTATTAACCAAAAATGGGGAAAAAAATATTCCCTCCTAAGCTTGACAGGTTGTCAGCTCTAAAATTTTAGTTAAAGGTTCTATCAGGCATTGCCTAAGATAAGAACCCATATGGCAAGGCTGAGAAACTCTGCTCAGGGCTTTAGTTGCTTAGTCAGGGTGATGATGTAAATGAAAAAAGGTTTTAGAAAGAAAGGAAAAAGGAGAAATCCCACCCCCTCACTACCCACCACACACTGGAAAACAGACCTTCCTCCAGCTTGTGCAAGGGTTCCTCAGCCATGCCAGCTCCAGGACTCCTGCCCTCACAGGACGGCAACACCACCTCTAAAGCACGGAACTTCAGGCCTTGCTTCTGATGTGGTGCCACAATATCTTCATTTTCCCTTTCTTCAAGGTCAGAAAGATCCTGAAGCTGGTAGAATTTTAGTGATGAGTTTTTTTGTTTTGTTCTTTTGGTTTTTTTAATGGAGGTCCTGGGGATTGAACCCGGGACCTCATGCATGCCAAGCACAAGCTCTACCACTGAGTTATACCCCTACCTAGGACTCTGAGTTAAAGGCAAGACTTCAAAATATTTTGTTATTAGAAGTAAAAACTGAACTCCAGCAAGCCCACTTAATAGTTGAGGTGCCCTGTTCCTTCAAAATCAAGTAAGAATCGCAAATGAATTACTAGGTATGGACAACTATTTTTTATTACATACCATACACATACTGGAGAAAATTATGAACACCACCACCAAGTCACTGAGATTATCGTTAATACTACGTGGCAGGTCAATGCTCAGAAACTTGTCTCTAACATCTCCCCACAATCCAGTTCTAGTCTTCTCTCTGAAGTCTAGGATTTCAATGTTGAAAGGAGTCTGCTTAGTCAAAGAAAATCTACAGTTTACCTTTATGACCCTTTTTGACCATCCATTGAATCCAAAGTAGTAATTGGCCAATTCTTGGCATCTGGAGCTGCTTAGGGCAAGGGCATTAGATTGAACTGCCTTATGCCTGGTGCCCAGACAAACCTAAAGACATAAGAGGCCTAAAAATATCACAACTTCACACAGAGACTTATTCTGGATACACCTGAGATTTATCAATACCAATTTCATAAGAGTGGTTGTGAAGATTAAATAGGACCACAGTTTAAGCAATGAGTTCATAGGAAGCCCTAAATAAATATTACTGCTGTTAAATCAATACTTTGCTGTATCATTTTCAGGGCCTCTGATTAATCGGAAGGTTTCCCTGACCTCTGGTGGTGAAGGTGATGAAAGCAACCAAGGAAGTCCTGCAGAAGCCGTAGGCTTGTGGCTATGCAAAGCAAGTAAATTGTTTTAGTCCTGTCATCCTGTAGCTCCTGCCTGAGAATATGACCCTTAACATTTGACTGTCCTTTATGATTGGATTACTGCATCCTCTTGATCCTTATTTTGTAGTTGGCTTTATTCCTTTGGTAACTATGTAAGTTTATAAAGCTAAAGGTCTC